CGCTGGTATCAGACCCAATACCAGCCTTTTAACAAGTTTTCATACTTGTTCAAAATGAACCTGTTACAGTTTACATTTCATGAGAAAAGTTAGTTCCATGTTTAAAGAATGTATACAAAATTAAATTAAAATATGCTGTATATTTGATTTACTACAAAGAGGCTGTAGATCTATAAGGAAGAAGAACCACCTTGTTCTGAAGAAAATAAATGTGTTTTTAAAGTAAATGTGTAATGTCTAATTTCTAACTTAGTAAGTACTCCGTATCAGCGAGTACCCAAACTGAGGTTTAAGAAAAACTGGTAATGGGACACCCTTACTGTGCACATACTGTAGACAGTGGAGTTAAAAGCTGATTATATTAGGCACAGATTTGACCTGTTTGATTTGTAATCACTCAGGGAGAAAACCTTGGCATTAAAAATTCATGTAGTTTATTATTCAACAGTAAAATTCACTATATGATTTATGAGACTTTAGAAGCATTACAACTCAACAGTTTCATATGCTTGAACTTAAAAAGTTTACTAAATTTCTCATAAACTGTCTGAAGCTTCATACGGATTTGCATTCTGTATAAATATAGCAATACATAAATAATAACTGCGCGCCTCATGTCAATATAAACATTCAGTACATAAATACATGTGTACAATAACAGTGTAAAAAGAAACCATGAGTCCTTATATAAAATGAACAGATTCTTTGCTTCATCATCCACATTAAATATTCCTGTAACACTGCATGGACCACAATACATGAAGGTTCTCCTAAATACGTGTGGGTGGACTCAGCGGGCTGTAGTTCACAGTCGAAAACATTCGGAGCATCTGAGAGCCTGCTGTCTGAGCCGTGAACACGTTTGTGTGTTCACACGATGAGCTCACTGAGATCTGACCGGGGCGAGCTCTGCTCCGTGTGGGACGCTTCGCTCCTGCAGCCACGTAGCTTTTACTAAAACATCTGGAACGTCAGGACATGCAGGTTCGTGCACGTCATATAAAGCATTTAAAAGGAATTGTCACTGGTTTGTAATGACTTTTTGTTTGGTTTTACTCCACAAA